AGTCACATCGTGCAGCTGAAAGACAAGGTATACTCAGTCACATCGTGCAGCTGAAAGACAAGGTATACCCAGTCACATCGTGAAGCTGAAAGACAAGGTACTCAGACACATCGTGCAACTGAAAGACGCATCTCATATTTTTTGTTAGCTTACAACTCCACACTAGCAACATTTTAGTACTGTGCTATCTGAATTATATTTTTGATAGAACAGATTACATTATCTTGTCACTGTAAGGTTGGATAGTCATATTTTGCAGCTGAGTGGCAAAATGTCTGCATTTTGAAAAAAACATATTCCTGTGGAAAACTAGTTTGGGAATAAAGAATGTGAAATGTTTCCTTGCCTCAGTGAATTCTTGAATGAAATTAGTTTTATAGTCTTATTCGTGACGTTTCTTTTCATCCTAAAAACTTCAGTGTCAATTTGCTAATTAATTCCACGAATCAACGAAAAACATTGTATCTGGAATTCATTTAATGGCAGCATAACTTCTCATATGATAATGCAATCACAAGAAAATCTCACAGAAGTATTCTGTTGATAAAACTCTAGGCAGAATTCAAGTCAAAACCATATGGGAACATCTGGATGCTACTTCACAAATAATAACCTAACCTATTAAAAAGGTGATGAACGTGCTTTTATTTTTCATGTCATTATACATGTGTGAGTCAACATTTTTGCTCTGATAACATTAAAACAAAACGGCAATCTCGTCTGTAAGTAGAGGAAGACCTCCGAGTTGCAGTGTCAACAATTCAACCAAGAATGGACCTAATCTTATCCCGAACTCAAGCCAATTTTTTACACTGAATTGATGAGCAAAGTGAAACTGTTTGCTTTATGCTATGTACTATTTTAAGACTTCTTTTATTTTTTGTATGGGTTGCAACAAAATGCATGTTTAGAAAAACGAGGCTTGCTGATAGGGTAAAATTCTAAAAAGGTTTTTGAGACAGTCTCTCGATGACGACTCTACTTGGTGGACTCTAAACTAACTTCACCCATTGACTAATTACTACAAAACTTGAATAACTTATTGATTTAGACCTTAGCTTTTATTGAGAAATGACGGGACGTTTTTCTAGGTTTTAAAATGTGACATGTAGCAAGTGCTCACTCAAGGTCACATGCTTTTTTTTTGGGCCTGGCATGGCTTAGTAGTTAGGGCGCTCGACTCCTAATCTGCGGGTCGCGGGTTCGAATTCCCGTCACTGAATATGCTAGCCCTTTCAGCTGTGGGGGTAGTATAATGTGATGGTTAATACCACTATTCACTGGTAAAAGAGTAGCCAGGCCCACCGACGGGGGGGGGGCGCAACTGCCCAGGGGCCCGGGCGAATGAAACCTGGTTAAGCCA